AGGGAGCCCGATGTGGGACTCGATCCCGGGACTCCAGGATCATGACCTGAGCCGAAGGCAGTTGCTTAACCAACTGAGCCACCCAGGCATCCCAAATAAATAAAATCTTTAAACAAAAATAAATAAAGTGGAAATCAAACAAGCAGATGATTCAGAAACGATCCCTAGGTCATTGAGAGGTCAGCGGAACTTGGCGAGCGTAGTTTCAGTCCCTGCCCCCTCCCCAAATCTCTCCCTTAAGGGAAGCCTGCTGAGTGGCCATGGGCTGAGCTGCCCCGCCCTGGCCAGGCTCTGGTGGTGTCCTGGAGGCCGGCCAGTGGGCAGCTGAGAAGGCCCGCCTCGGCCGTAGGCCCCGCCGGTGGCACCCAGCACAGTATGGGCCCACAGCAGGCCCTCAGCAAAGGCTGCCCAGTGCAGGGGGGCCTAGCGACTTCCCTGTAATTTTTTTATTATTATTATTTATTCATTGGAGACACAGAGACACTGAGAGAGAGAGAGCATGCGGAGGGGGAGAGGCAGAGGGAGAGGGAGAAGCAGGCTTCCTGCTGAGCAAGGAGCCTGACACGGGGCTCGATCCCAGGACCCCGGGATCATGGCCTGAGCTGAAGGCAGATGCTTAACCATCTGAGCCACCCAGGCGCCCCCTTCCTTGTAATTTTGTTTCTGGCAAAGGCCTCCTTACTTAAAAGAGACCTCTCTGCCGGCAAATGAGGACATTTGCTCTGTGCTGCAGGCCACCCTGCGTGAGTTAGCGCTGTAGGTGCCCGTCGTCCTGGGGCCTGCTCTCCTCTCATCAAGCAGAACGTGGAGGTTGTCGATCAGCAGAGCTGGGAAAAGGATTCGGGGGCCGAGAGACTCTTCTGATGACCACCAACCTTTAACCCTGCTCCCGAATGTGAAATGTACCCCACAGAAGCACAGTGCGTAGGTGTGTCTGGGTGTGTGTGAAAGCGTTCACATCTAGGACCACCCAGGCCCCATTAAAGCTTGCAATCACAGTGCAGTGGAAGGAACCCCGGGCTAATTAGCCCGGAATCAGAAAACCAGGGGCCTGATCCCAGCTACACAGCTGCTCTGTGCCCTCAGGCAGGTCCCACCTGCTTTCTGAGCCCGGTCCCCTCCTCCCTAGAATGAGAGTGTGGGACAGACGATCCCTGAGGTTGTAACTGGTAACAAGCCATCACACTTTGATTCCTTGCTTTCGGTGGGAGATTGAGAGGTGTGTGCAGGGGTGAAGGGGGAAGTAGGGGGCAGGAAGGGTGATGGGATCCAGGTAACTGGCCGACCACGGTCAGTGATGCAGCACTAAGATAGGGCGCCTGAGCTGTCCATCAAAAAACTCCTAGGAGTGGAGGGCGGTGCCTGGTTGTCTAGTAACCTCAGGGCTCTGAGCTCAGAGCTTGGCGAGGTAACCCAAGCCAGAGGGACCATTCCAGAAAGCCAGCCGCAGAGAAGATCGAGGGAGGTAAGGCATCCTGTGGCTGGGGCCCCAAGGCCTGGTGGGGGTAGCTAGGAATGCCCCAGGGATGAGGGCCTTGAAGGCAAGATTCCTAGGTGTTCTTAGTTGCAGGGGGAATTTCTTTAAAAAGAGAATCACCGGGCGCCTGGGTGGCTCAGTTGGTTAAGTGACTACCTTCGGCTCAGGTCATGATCCTGGAGTCCCAGGATCGAGTCCCGCATCAGGCTCCCTGCTCGGC